GGATGTGCTGCACCACCCTCACTCTCAGTGGGAATTCCCGGGAATTTTGGGGCTGGAATTCAATCACGCAGGCTCCCCACCCATTTTTATGAATTCCCAGGAATTTTGGGATGGGAATTTGGGGAATTCTCACGTTTAAGTCTGGCTGGGTGTGGGATGGATGTGCTGCACCACGCTCACCAGTTTTCTGTAATTCCCAGGAATTTTGGGGTGGGAATTCAACCAGGTGGGTTCCCCATCCATTTTTATGAATTCCCAGGAATTTTGGGGTGGGAATTTGGGGAATTCTCACGTTTGAGGCCGGCGGAGGCGCGCTGGGGGGGGATGTGCTGCACCACCCTCACCGTTTTTTTGTGAATTCCCATGAATTTCGAGGTGGGAATTTGATCACACAGGTTCCCACCCATTGTAGTGAATTCCCAGGAATTTTGGGATGGGAATTTTGGGGAATTCTCACGTTTAAGTCTGGCTGGGTGTGGGATGGATGTGCTGCACCACGCTCACCCTTTCAGTGAATTCCCAGGAATTTTGGGCCCGGAATTCGATCACCCAGGTTTCCCACCCATTTTTATGAATTCCCAGGAATTTTGGGATGGGAATTTCACACGTTTAAGTCTGGCTGGGTGTGGGATGGATGTGCTGCACCACCCTCACAGTGGGAATTCCCAGGAATTTAAGGATGGGAATTCAACCAGGTGGGCTCCCCACCCATTTTTATGAATTCCCAGGAATTTTGGGATGGGAATTTCGGGAATTCTCACGTTTGAGGCCGGCAGAGGCGCGCTGGGGGGGATGTGCTGCACCACCCTCACTCTCAGTGGGAATTCCCGGGAATTTTGGGGCAGGAATTCGATCACCCAGGTTCCCATCCATTTTTATGATATTCCCAGGAATTTTGGGATGGGAATTTCAGGAATTCTCACGTTTGAGGCCGGCGGAGGCGCGCTGGGGGGGATGTGCTGCACCACCCTCACCGGTTTTTGTGAATTCCCACGAATTTCGGACAGGAATTCGATCACACAGGTTCCCCACCCACTGTAGTGAATTCCCTGGAATTTTGGGATGGGAATTTTGGGAATTCTCACGTTTGAGGCCGGCGGAGGCGCGCTGGGGGGGGATGTGCTGCACCACCCGGGTGCCCCCGAACAGGACGTGGAGCCGCCCGTCCACTCCCAGGTCCAGGACGTGCTCAGGGCTCCGACCCTCCACCGGCTCCTGTGGGAAATGGGACAGGGAATGGGCTGGAATTATGGCTGGGAATGCCCAAAATTCCCGTTTTTCCCTGGTTCTTTATCCCACAAACGCCCTGGACCCCACTCAATCCAAGCCTGGAGCTGCAGGAACTCCGGGTTTGGGGCTGATCCCACAGAATTCCCCATGGGATCGTTCCAATTTTAAGGCCCACTTTTTCCCAATTTTCCCATTTTTCCCAACTTTCCTGGTTTATTTTTCCAGTTTTTCCCATTTTTCCCCCAGTTTTTCCTGTTTCTCCCCATTTTCCCCGATCTTTCCCATTTTTCCCCATATTTTCCCGATTTTTCCCATTCTTCCCCAGTTTTTCCCAATTTTTCCTGGTGTTTTTCCCATTTTTTTCCCTCTTTTCCCCAGTTTTCCTGGTTTTTTTCCCCCAGTTTTTCCCGATTTTCTCCAATTTATCTCCTTTTTTCCCCAATTTTTCCCGATTTTCCCCAATTTTCCCCTTTTTTTTCCAATTTTTCCCTTTCCCCGCAGTTTTTCCCATTTTTTTCCCATTTTTCCCAGATTTTTCCCCATTTTTTTCTCACCTTCATCTGGGGCACGGACTCCCCGGTGAGCATGGCCTCGTCCACGATGCAGCGACCCCGCAGCAGGAGAACATCACAGGGCACCAAATTCTCCTGGGGAGAGCGCCCTGCAATCCCAAAAATTCCCAAAATTCCCAAAATTCAAATAAATTCCCAAAATTCCCGCTCCAAAACATCCTTTCCCGCTTTTTTCCCACCCCATTTCCATTAAAAAAAAAGGTTTTGGAAGCGGAAATGAAAAGCTTTGAAGGGTTTTTTGGGGGTCATTGCATGGAAAATTTGGGGAAATTTTGGGATTTGAAAATTCTCTGAAATCCTGGGATTTTAGGGATTATATCTTTTTAGGTTTTTTTTTTGGGATGTTAAAATTCCAGGAAGCTGGAAAAGCAGAAAATCCCAGGAAAAAAGGGATCGTTCACGGAAATGAAACCCCCAAAGGGATCCAAATCCGACCCAGAATTCCTCAAATTCCAGAAAAAAAGGGGAAAAATCCAAGAAATAAAACCTCTAAATTATTCCAATCCAGCCTAGAATTCCTCAAATCCCAAGAAAAAAGGGAAAATCTCGGAAATAAAACCCCCAAAATTATCCCAAGGGAATTTTTCCCCCTCCCAACCCCGAAACTGAGGGATTTGAGGCCAATTTTTCCAGGTTTTTTTGGGTTTTTTTTAGAAAAAACTGAAATTTCAGGGGGATTTCCCTGAAAATGAGAATTCAAATCCTCAAAATTCTCAATTCCAACAAAAATGAGGGGAAAAAACCCAATTTTAAGGAAGTTTTCCATGAAAATTCCCGTTACCAATGGAGACGATGTCCCCTGGGATGATCTCATCGCTGGAAATCGGGCGCCACTTCCGGTTCCTGTAGACCTGAAATTCCCAAAAAAACACCCAAAATCAGTGGGAAAACCACGGGAAAAGGGACAAGAAATGGACTAAAACTCAAAGAAAATTTAAAAAAAACCCTAAGTAAGAAAAAACCCCATTTTTTGGGATGGAATCAGTGGGAAAAACCCAACAAAATCCCATTTTGGGGGAAAAAATCAGAGGAAAAACAACACAAAAAGGGAAAATAAATCAGCCAAATCCCCAAAAATTCCAATTTTTGGGACAAAATTGTTGGGAAAAGGGACAAAAAATGAGCCAAACCCAAAAAAAATCCCATTTTTGGGCCAAAACAAGCAAGAAAAACACCCCAAAAATCCCATTTTTGGGGCCAAAATCAGTGGGAAAAAAGCCCTAAAAATCCCATTTTTGGGGCTAAAATCAGTGGGAAAAAGCCCCAAAAATCCAATTTTTGGGATGAAACCGTGGGAAAAAAGCCCTAAAAATCCCATTTTTGCACCAAAACCAGTGGGAAAAAAGCTCCAAAAATCCAATTTTTTGGGATGAAACCAGTGGGAAAAAAGCCCTAAAAATTCCATTTTGGGATGAAATCGGTGAGAAAAACACCCCCAAAATCCCATTTTGGGGCCAAAATCAGTGGGAAAAAAGCCCCAAAAATCCCATTTTTGCACTAAAACCAGCGGGAAAAAAGCCCCAAATTTGTGGAAAATCCGGAATTCCCAGATTTGGGGTGGGATTCACCTGGATCATGTAGGGTTTATTCCCCATTTTCCGGATCTCTGACATGTTCCTCATCTGCTGCTGCACCAGWGAGGCCTCAAAAGCCACGAGCATGGAGAGGGTGAAGACACTGTAGTACCAATATTCATCCAGGCACCACAGCCCCACGCAGAAAACCTGGAAAAATCCATTGGGAATATCGGGAATGTCGGGAATTCCAACCCCAGGGGATGAGAGAAGGGGAAATTCCAGGAATTCAATCCTTTGTGGGGGTGAAATGGGGGTGGTTTGGCACAGAATTGCTCAAATTTCAGAGGGAAAGGGGGCAAATTTATCCCAGAATTCCTGAAAATTCCAGAGGGAATGGGACCGAAACGACCCCAGAATTCCTGAAAATTCCAGAGGAAAAGGGGGCAAATTTATTCCAGAATTCCTGAAAATTCCAGAGGGAACGGGACCGAAACGACCCCAGAATTCCTGAAAATTCCAGAGGAAAAGGGACCAAATTTATTCCTGAAAATTCCAGAGGGAATGGGACTGAAACGACCCCAGAATTCCTCAAATTCCAGAGGAAAAGGGGCCAAATTTATCCCAGAATTCCTGAAAATTCCAGAGGAAAAGGGGGCAAAATTATTCCAATCCAGCCCAGAATTCCTGAAAATTCCAAAGGGAAAAGGGCCAAAATTATTCCAATCCAATTGAGATTTCCTCGAATTTCAGAGGAAAAGGGACCAAAAGCGTCCCAGAATTCCTGAAAACTCCCGAGGTAAAGGGACCAAGAGGATCCCAAAATTCCTGAAAATTCCAGAGGGAATGGGATCAAAATTATTCCAGAATTCCTCAAATTCCAGAGGGAAAGGAACATTCCCAGAAATTTTTTTTTACCTGGAAAACGAAGAACGGAGCTGTGGCTCTTTCCTTGAAAAGTTCCAGGAATTCTGGCACCACCATTTCTGCCCTGGGAACAAAAGGAAACCTCAGGAAAATCCCAAATTTTCCCCCAAAATCCCAACCCCAGAACGTCCAAATCCTCCCGAATTCCCATTATTTTGACACAATTATTGGATATTTGGGATTAATTCCCAAATTTCAGAGGAAAAGCCCTCAATCCTTAAAGGAGTTGGAAAGAAATCCTGAGAATAACCAAAAATCCAAAAATAAGGAGGAAAATTCTGTTCCAAGCCCTTTTTTTTTGGATATTTTGGGATATTTTCCCAAGATATTTTAGAATATTTTCCTGGCATATTTGGGGATATTTTCCTGGGATATTTGGGGTTTATTTTGGGATATTTTCCCAGGATATTTTGGAATCTTTTCCACGGATATTTGGGGTTTATTTTGGGATATTTTCCCAGGATATTTTGGAATATTTTCCAGGGATATTTGGGGTTTATTTTGGGATATTTTCCCAGGAT